TTGCCAATTGTTATTTGTTTGAATTCTGGCTCCACTTTTTTTTGTACAAATAGCAGTTCTTTAAGAAAATTAGTAAATGATGCAGATTCGTTCAAGTGAGCCTTAACCTCCATAATTAGGTTTTCAATGAACCTCAACCTCCAAGACAAACAAATATATTTGGAAAAAATATTTTCCTTCATGTTTACGTTATAAATACGAAAAAGGATCTTTCCCAAACTAATTAGAGTTGAGCTATAAGTACAGGGAATTTTTACCGAATTTTTACAGATTTTTGAAATCAACAGTGCAGATTCAAACTTTGGAAAAAAATAAAAAAATACAGATGGACAGGATGCTGCCACAGCTGCATCCTGTAACATTTCTGGGAAAATTCCCTTTCCTTCATGAAGGGTGCAGGTAGTTATACCGCGTTGCCACGTCAGGTCAAATTAGTCAAGATTGAAAATTGGTCAATGTCCGTTGATTTTTAATCCGTCAATTAGTAATTGGATTGTCACATCGTGATTGGTCGACCTCACGGCTCGGCTCTTTCTATATTTTAGTGAATGCTCGTTCATGGCGCGTGCAATTGCGATCAAATGGATTTATTTTAGTTAGCCTATGTTTTATTCATTTTTTAATTCACATTTTGGGATATTTATAAATACATTATTCATTTTTATAATTTATAAATACTTTCCAAACACAATTTTAAAAAATGGGTTAAAACTCAACTTACTTTTGAAAAATTAAAGTTGAATTTAATACACGGATTTGGATTTTAAAAAAAAGGAAAAGAAAACACTTTTGAACAATTTTAAAACGCATTAAGTTTTGTAATGCTCAGGAGAAAAGAGAAAATGATACTTGTACACTCCGAAGTGTACATTCCCCTCACATAATTTGTGCGCGAATCTCACTTCATGTGAAGGGATGTAAACCCGGACCCTTATGTATTTGTAGCATCTCCCTAAAATAGTATGTTTATATCATTATTAACCGAAATATATGTTTATACTATAGATAAAGCTTAACTTTAACTAATTTTACAAAATAAAGATTTTTGTAAGCTGATTTTGTGAAGTAAAAGAAAAAAAGGTCTCAAAACTTTAGGATGAACTATATTCTGATATCTCATAACTATGATCACTCTCACAACTTTCATAAAAAATATATACTACGAGAATAAAAAATGATGCTCTTTCAATTTTATAAAAAATGATTTGACTTTATCCCAAACAAATGATCACACACTCGCACAAATGTTGATAACTAGCAAGATTGAGAAGTTATTAACCGAACATAAGAATTTTATAACAATGATCATCAACTGCAAATATTTAAGGTGTGTTTGAGCCACGTTATTTTGAAAGAATGTATTTTGAAATAGTAGATTGATGGAGAATGTATGGTTAAAAAAGAAGGAAAAATTACTGATGTGATGAAAAATATTATTTTATTGAAAATGTGTGATTGTAAATGAGTAGAAGAATGAAAATGAAAATTTTAATATGGCTCAAACATGGGCTTAGTAATTCTACTTCGACAAATTTTGACATTCTTACTTTCATAGCTGATAAAAATAATTTTTTTTTTTTTTTGCAAAACAAAATTACAAGTTAAATTTCAGCAACAAAATAAGAGAAAAAGTAAAAAATATTATAAGAAAATATCAGAGAAAGGCTTGGCATTAGGCAAAGTTCTCAACACTTCCAGCACAAGCGCGTGAGTCCAAAAGCGAAGAAGTTGAATTCTTGACAGCGTCGAACGTGTGGTCCCTGGTCCGGGAGAGAAATCGTTCACATGGCAAACCCACTTTAATATATATATAAACATCTCAACCTGTTTTTCACTCAATTCTGCCGATTCTATTCGAATAATCAAGTTTACATTTCAAAACATACAAGTTAATAAAAAAATCAGAGACCCAATAACTTCACTTTTGAGTTCTTATTTTCAGCCGAAGGTCCTCCATTATCAGGTACTTCATCTTCATTTGGTGTTTTGCTTGCTTATTCTTGCAAATTTGAAGTATTTAGAACTGCTTCTGATTCTTTGAATTAGTTTTGATTATGGGAAACTGGGAGATTTTTGTTGGGGGTATTTGAATTCGGTCTAAGATGTATATGAATATGTTATGTTCGACGGTCTGTCTAGCTGGGATTTTTGTGAAATGAGCTATAATCAAATCTTGTGGTAACTGAAAGAAGTTAAGTTAAACTCGTTCATCGTGTTGGCTTTAATTGGGATTTAGAATTTCTTTTCTGTTAAGTTGGGTACTCTTAAAGCTGAATTGAAAGTATGTGTCTTTCTTCTTGATGAGAAAGGGAAGTAATTATTTAGTAATCTATGTGTTCCTGTACTACAGGTCAATCTTCTTACGGGTAAAGGGGACATTGACGAACACTTTTTCAAACTGCGAAAGTTAGATTGAGAATTTTCAGTGCATAGATGGACTCCCATTTATTTGGATATAGTGTCGCAGGTGGAGAGTTGTCATACTCTTCTTATCCCTTCGGTTCTTCAATACCTACTAGGCTGTTTGGATCATTAAATTTTGATAAAAGAATCTTACCCAATTCACCTTTCTTTACCCACTTAATGCCTGAGACGTTCACCGCGTATGGTGACAGTCAAGAGCAGCACATTTCCACAGATAATCTTTCTGAAGCCACCCCTTTTTCTAATTCTTCACTGGATTACAACAATTATTTCCAACAATTAAGCCCGTCCCCTGTGAACCCTCAGGATAGTCTACTCCTTCGTTCTGGTGGACCTTCTAATCTTCAGATTGCAAATCACAATCAGAACATAAAACAAGCTCTGCAGGAGTTGGAGACTGCTCTTATGGCACCAGATTTTGATGAGGAAGTGACAACCTCAGAGCCTTCATTAGGGGAAAATAAGAGGCCCCAAACACCTGGTCAGCAGTCAAGATCTTGGAACCAGGAATCGCAGGGATCGTCACATTCACATCAACCTGAGTCATCTTATATTTCCCAGTTTCGCAACTCCGGTGGTGAACTATGTATTGAGAGACGTCAGAAAGCGATGGAGGAGTTGACATTGAAGGGTAACCCATCAAATAATCTTAAAAACTTGCTGATTGCATGTGCTAGAGCTCTTTTTGAAAACAAATTGGCTGAATTCGAGAGACTAGTAGAACGGGCTCGTGTCGCTGTCTCTATTAGTGGAGAGCCAATTCAGCGTCTAGGTGCTTACCTGGTTGAAGGGCTGGTAGCAAGGAAAGAATCATCTGGCACCCACATTTACCAGGCCTTGAACCGTAAGGAACCAGAATGCAAGGATTTGCTTTCATACATGCATATTCTGTATGAAATATGTCCTTATTTAAAGTTTGGTTACATGGCTGCAAATGGTGCTATCGCGGAAGCATGTAGAAATGATGATAGTATTCACATCATAGACTTTCAGATTTCCCGGGGAACTCAGTGGATGACTCTCTTACAGGCACTTGCAGCAAGACCTGGTGGTGCTCCACGTGTGCGAATTACTGGGATTGATGATCCAGTTTCAAAATATGCACGTGGAGATTGTATCGCCGCAATCGGTAGACGTCTGGCTGCAATTTCAGAGAAATTCAACTTACCTTTTGAGTTTCATTCTATTTCAGCTTTTGCTCCTGAAGTCACAAGGGACATGCTTGATGTTCGACCAGGAGAAGCATTGGCCGTGAATTTCCCTTTGCAGCTCCACCACACCCCTGATGAGAGTGTTGATGTGTCCAATCTAAGAGACAAGCTTCTGAGGATGGTGAAATCACTTTCTCCCAAGGTGGTCACCCTGGTGGAGCAAGAATCAAACACAAACACTGAGCCTTTTGTTCCAAGGTTTATCGAAACTTTAGACTATTATCTGGCTATGTTCGAGTCGATAGATGAAGTGATGCCCAGAGACCGGAAGGAGCGCATTAATGTGGAACAGCACTGTCTGGCGAGAGATATTGTGAACATTATAGCCTGTGAAGGCAAGGAGAGAGTGGAACGTCACGAGCTCCTTGGCAAGTGGAGATTGAGATTTATGATGGCAGGTTTTCGGCAATTTCCTCTGAATTCTTATGTCAATTCAGTGATTAGGGGCTTATTAAGATCTTATTCAGAGCATTTTACATTATTTGAAACGAACGGGGTTATGCTATTGGGATGGAAGGAGAGGAATCTGATCTCAGCTTCTGCTTGGCACTGAAAAATGCAGATACAATGGTGTAATTGTTGAAATACCTAGTTGATGACAGAGACTCGTGTTTTAGAATTTTGAAAACCCTTTGTATCAGCCATCAGACAATCTGCATAATTTTCTGTGGTTTAGTTATCAATTTTGATAGTGGAAATATATGTTAATATCATGTTCTTGTAGACTGAAGCAGTTTATCTTTTCTCATGCGTTTGCCAGTCACGCTGATCGATTTTCACAAGAATGAATAAGATAAAAAATGCAAATATTTGTGATAGAAATGGCACATGAAGAAAAAGGAAGGCATTCATTAAGGACGAATGGATGAAACTATACTATTTAGGTGGCGCTGTCATGTTTTTTATTTGACTAAAGAGACTCGTATTAATAAGAGTTACAGGAGTTCACTATAACAGTAGAAAAAAGTTAGAAAATGGGAGAATAGATCGAAAATAAAATGAAGAGTTGTGACTGTTAAAGATCTAGTTGTTTTTGAATCTTTTATCGATGCCACGATGAACTATGAGCCATGACAAAAAATGATTTATGTAGTTGACTCTAAATATACGATGATAACTAGTTTATTTTTATTCTTGTAATAACACATCCAATTAAACTCTTATTTCTGGTGGCGGGACAGTGATAGCCGTGTAACATGATATGTTACAAGTGGTGGCGATGACTGCCGTGGCAGCCAAGAGTTACAAGTGTAACACAGTTTCTTTGTTTTTGTTTGTCTGCGGGTGTGTCCTCATTTAAAAGCCTCCAATCCCGGTGAAGTACAAACAAGAAACCACAGTCGACAAAGTCAGACTGTGGATCTTTGGACCCCACTCAACCTGAACTCCGGTCAAGTCGCCAGAGTCTCTAACACCCGGAGAAAACATCCATAGATGACATGCTGCAGAAATGCCTGCATTCTTATAAGCAGCTATTCTATTAGACAAGTTGGGCAGAAAGCTTAAGCCCCTAGCTATTGCGACAGGGACACTATGGTTCAGAACATTGAAGATTGTCCAGAATGGTATGTGGGTGGTGTTATGGGACTTTTTGGCGTGGCCGGAACGTATAATTTGTTGTTTGTTTATAAGGTGGAACTTGAACTTGTTTCTACCGTCGTAAGATATGCAGCGTGCGCTTTAGATTCGCTCCCAAGTACAGAAGAGAGAATAATTTTGAAAACTTTCTTGAAACTTTTTGTTATAATTAAATTTACTAATTAATTGCCTCAAGCTTACAACTCGTATGCAAAAAAGTAAATAAAATATTTATTCAACTAAACTCTAGATAATGACAAAAATTAAAATTCTTAATATTCATAATTAATTTGCAACCCTGACTACTTCTGATTTTTCTAGGGGCCTAGGAAAGAGCTTATTCTCTTCCTCGGCGTGTCAAAGCCCCTTCTAATGTCAAATTGGATGCTTCCTCTACGTCCCTGCAACTCCAATTGCTATTTGTTTATTTTTTAGGAGAAATTCGGACTCGGTGATTAGACAGATAGGCTACTCTTACTCTGGCCTAAGGGTTTAGGCAACAAAAACCAAAAAAAAATAAATAAATAAATTCCATGAGGAAATGAATTAAACAAAATTATCCAAAAAAAAATAGAAAAATGTGTTTTTGGAACCTTAAACCATGAAATTTGGCCGAAAAAGGTCGAACTTCAAGCCAAAAAGGCATAGTTTCGTTTATTGGGCTGTTTCCACTCAAAATTCTCCGAAAATGAATGCTCCAAAAAATTATTTATTTCACATTAGCCTCACTTCTACATAAAATCTTCTTCTTTCTCCATTGCATCAACACCCTTTATGGTGTCGGGGGTTTATGGGATTGGTCGAGGAATTCTAGCATAAACAAGCATTTGTATGACACAATGACAAATCAAGGATTGAGAAACCTGAAGAATGATTTGTTTAAGGTTATCTAGTATTTTGTACCGAACATAATTCAAAGACACATCTTTTATTTACAGATTCCAAGGTAAGCAGATCAATATACAACTCAACCAATGAAAAAGATACAAGAACAAGTTCAATGTTGATTTGTTCCATATATACACAATTTAATCTTTCACAATCTATAGAAATAAGAAAGGCGACGGGGAAAACATAGGCAAATCTGCTGGAACCGGAGCTCGCCTGTAAATGAATGAAATCGAAATGAATGCACCATGAAATCACCAAATCGACGTAAGAAGAGGGAAAAGATGTAACCTGACACCATTTTGATGCGAAGAATGCGCACGATCTCGAGCTGAAATGGATGCACCACCACCCTTCCTCCTAAGGCTCTGCGGCGGCGGTGGTTGTAACTGATTCCTCTCCGGCAAAACGTTATCCTCCAAAATTGATGAAAGAGAAGGTCTCCAATCAAGAACCCTACAACGCCTCTCCCTTCCCCGCTTCCGCCCAATGATGGGGCGAGCTTGTGGCACCACCAGCAATCTCGACTCCTCCGGTGGCTGCTGCTGCCGCTGCCGAGCCCCAGACCCGCAACACAAGAAAAACTTCATAATTACACACAAAAGACCCACCAAGAAAAAAGATTATGAAGGAACAACCTATGATTATTTCTATTCTATACGAAAAATGGCGATTACAGTTATATGAATAGAATATGTCATCGATTGGTTAAAGCCATTTGATCAATCTTCTCTCTTTTTGTGCGTGTTTCATGCGTGCTTGAACTTGTAATCTGGTGTTATTATAGATGGGTGGCATGGCTTTCAACCAAAGGTTTCTTTTGTCATTATCATAAAATCGAAGTTGATGCGCCACCAAAACTCAGCCGCCGGCGGGAAATACGGGGATTTTTTTATTTATTTCTAATTAATTTTTGGTGATCGAGGACGTGTATTTAATATTTATTTATTATGTAAACATTACAGATGCAGCTCCCAAACTTTTTAAAATGCAGTACTTGAGTCTCCATTTAAATTTTCTTGGCATATGCATCCTCAAAATTTTAATTTCGACGAATGTGAATCCCCATTGTCCATAAAGATGGCAAAATACATGTTCTTGTCTTGTCCTACCCTGCATTTCCCTGCCCAATGGAGAATCAAGGTGAGAACAGGAAACACGATACCCACCAGTCAAAACAAGCTCGCAACGCTTCTCATTTTATTTTATTTTTATATTTTTAAATTTAAGGGTACGTTTGAGTCCCATTTTCTTTTGAGAATGTATTTTGAAATGATAGATTGATGTAAAATATGTAGCAAAAAAATAATTTGTTACTATATTATATTTAAGTAATTCTATTTTTCATTAGTAATGACCATCACTAGATTAGTTAATAATTTGTTATTTGATTCATTGTCCAATGGGGATGTGACGCAATTTAATGCAGTGGATAATAAATCAAGTAGTTCATCGCCACCAAACTAGGGATGATTACAATTAATGATGAATAATATTACTCTCTCATATCGTGTTTTGAAATTGAAAGTTTGAATTTACATGTAAGGAAAAATTAATTGGGGACCTAAGTATTGTTTGTAAAAAGTTTGGAGATCTCAATTGTAATATTTCCGTTTATTAACAACTGTTATGAAGATAACCTTTTAAAATATATTAATTAATCAATTAATATTATTTAATTATATTAGTGTATATGTTTATTTATTGAAATATAGGCTTTTTGTTGGGAGTAGTTTATCTACCACTTCATTTGTTGACTTCCCTCTCCCTCTCCCTCTCGCCCCTAAAATCTCAAACCAATAAAAAGATCCAAGAGCCATTTTGATAGACTTTTTTTTTTTTCCCGACTTCACATAGAAGAACTTTATGAGAAAGTTAAAACTTCCATTTTTTAATCTTCTTCGTGTAGAAGAACTTTATAAGAAAGCTAAAACTTGTCGAGGGGTAAGCCAATTTGGTTAAATAATTTGATCAAATCTTTGAAGACACCTACATGAAAGCCTAAACTTGCCGAAGGGGGAAGCCAAGCCACATTAACTACAACCGTATCCACGATGAAATAGAGAGTCGCTAACCAACTCGTACCAATAGCATAATTACAAAATGATAATTTCCCAAACAAAAAATCGTTGAAGGAAGACAAAAGGTTCGAAATGAGGTATTCACCATGTACGAGAATCCTCGCTAAGCAACCATGGGATATTTGAACTTGAGTATCAAGGAAAAAACAAAAAATTTGATGGAACTTCTGGTTATCTTGGTATTAAACCGATCACAAGAATACCAATTACAGTACCTATTATCAAAAGAAGAATCGCTATAGATCATCAGCTAGGAGCAAAATCATTCTATCAAATCGAACAAGTAAATTCGATCTAGCGCCTATTTGAGCCCTATTTTTTGGCCCAAAATACATTTTGAAATAGTCTTCTATTGGAGAATGCGTGGTTCAAAAATAAGAAAAAAAAATTGAACATAATATTATCTTATTAAAAATGTGATTAAAAATAGGCGGGAAAAAAAATATTTTGAAAATAATGAACACCAAACAAGGAGCTAATAAGTACCTTGTGTCGGTGCCCACCAGCTAAGGCCCGTAAATAAGATAACTGAAAGAAACTAACACAGCCAGTCAAAACAAAATCTAGTATATCCTTAATAGCAGTCACAATTGAACATGCGGTCTGAATAAGACACAATAACAAGAAACACAAACATACTTAAAATCTGCATATCCTTATTTATTTATCAGCTTTAGCAGCTGAAGCAGCAGCTTGACCACGTAGACGACCAGTCCTCCTAGCTGCAATAAGACCAACCTTTTGCCCAGGGGGTGCATCCCGACGAACAGTACTTGCATGACCAATATGTTGATGGTTACCACCACCATGGGGATGCTCCACGGGATTCATAGCAACACCACGAACCTTAGGCCAGGAGTTCCTCTTCACTCTGAACTTGTGATAAGCATTCCCAGCCTTCAACAGTGGTTTCTCAGTACGTCCTCCTCCAGCAACCTGGCCAATCATGGCACGACAGCCACTGGGCACAATCTTCTTGGCTCCTGAAGGAAGCTTAATCCTGTCAACCATAAGAACTTGTTAACCCTCCAACTTAAGATGCTCCATAACAAAGATTCTCAGTTTGGTACATCACTTAAAACTTATTATTATTATTATTTTTTGATAGGTATCACTTAAAACTTATTTTTAAAATCACCAAACACTTGCATGACGTATTATAAGATAAAATTAAAATGAGAATAGCCGCATAATCCGGTTTTCATCATACACGGAGAAAGTATATGTTTTTCCATCTTAAAAAAATCACAAAATACACAAATATCACCAACTATATAGTCAATCAAAGACTTGTTTTCAAATTAAAATAATTAGCTGTCACAACGCAAAAATAAACATTTCAAGTAGATACAGTACTAACAAACCAGTGTTCTAAAAAGAACACCTATGAGAGAAGCTTGGCCATGCCTCCTAGCCACGCTTTACAATTTTCTACTCCCAGGCTTCGTCTAAGCCCACTTAGGCTCCTAAAAGCTTGAAGCTTGGTTTGCCATCTAGACATTTTCAGAATACTGCTAAAAATGCATTTGATCATATAAGGCTCCTCAATCAATAGCAACTACTTCAATCACAGATGCACCATTCATGTGCATACGCTATACAGAAGAGTTTGTCTCAAATATAAAAAACAATTGACATTGTCAGATGTGCCACCAAAATCATCAAAAACAACTATATCTGAGCATCAGATTGTGAAATCCATACACCAAACAAAGTAAATGATGAGAAATTTTCTTAAATCAGAATCCCAGGTTGAGCTAATTATTACCAAAAATAAAAAAACTTGGTAGGCGAAGAAAACAGAAGCTAAAAACTAAATCAATACTCTGTTTCCTACAGTTTCATGTTTATACAATGCATGAAATGGATGTACTGAAGACCAAGCAAATTATAAAAGCATTGACTTTGCAGCATTTCAAAACTCCTAACATACCCTATAATTAAATTACATAACAAAATAGGAGGCAACATGAAAATTAAATCTGTAAAACAGCTCGACAGATGCTAACTTCTAATTTCAAACTCCGGTAAAATCCAAAACAATAAATTAAAATCAATTCAACAATAAGTTGCAAGCAGAAAATTAAAATACAAACAATTTTTAAATAAATCAGAGAAACTATTTAAGTAACACACCTAGAGGTTCCATTCTCAGGGTTGTGCGAGATAACAATGGCGTAGTCCCCAGAAGCCCTAGCGAAAACCCCACGGTCACCAACATGGTGCTCGACGTTGCAAACGACGGCACCTTCAGGGATAGCTCTAAGGGGCAAGACATTTCCAACCACTAAATTGGCCTTCTTACCACAGTAGAGGAACTGACCAGTGTAAATACCCTCGGCGGCGACGAACAGTTCCTTCTGGTGCTTGTACCGGAAGGGATGGCGGAAGGTGACCCGTGCCAGTGGGGCACCTCGGCCAGGATCGTGTATGATCTCAGTCACTACACCCTTGAGGTAGCCATTGCGCTCGCCAAAGTCCAGGGAACGGAATCGGGCCGGACCCTTGCGATGATGGGTGTGGGACTTGAAAACGGAACCGGCTCCCTTACGCTGTGCCCGGATTACACGACCCATATTTTTTTTTCTGTGTGATTGATAAGAAGAAGGCGGGGAAGTGATGAAATGAGACGAGGGAAGAGAGAAATAGGGTTTTCTAGAGGCGAATTAGGGGCCGGGTTCCCTAGGTGTTGTTTGGTAAATGAAATGGGCCTAGGACTATAAAAAGAAGGCCCAAATCCTGGCAAATTTTGACAAAATAGTAAATTTAAAGAAAATTAAAAATAGAGAAAATTAGCATAGACAAGGTGTTTAGTTTTGACTTTTAAAAAATCAGATTTTTAGTTTATTTAATCAAAAATCAGGTTTTAATTTTACAATTAATATTAATAATAATATTTTTAAATTAAATTAAATA